TACATCTCAAACCCTAGATCCGGCTCCCTCTCTTTCTACATACACCTTCTCTCTAAGGTTTCATCTATTTCTAGAGTGTTTCTACCCTAATCTCTTTGTAAGAAAGATAGAGGGTGGTGTGGGCTTCACTTTTATCTGAAAAGTTGTGGATTTGAAGCACTTTGAGTTTCACCTCTCTCCTCCTTTGAGCTCCAAAAATTAAGGTAGGGATAACCTACTCCATTCTACGAGTTCTTAGGAACATCCTCATCCCTTACTTTCAACTGGTGATAGCCTAACCTCAAGTCAATCTTAGAGAATACTTGAACTCCCTACAATTGGTCCAATAGGTCATCCATACGTGGCAAAGGATACATATTCTTCACTGTGACTCTGTTCAGTTCTCTATAATCAATACGCAATCTCATAGACCCATCATTCTTCTTCACAAACAACACAGGTGCTCCCCAAGGTGAAACACTAGGCCTAATAAAACCTTTGTCTAGCAACTCCTGTAACTGAGTTTGTAACTCCCTCAACTCCAACGGTGCCATTCTATAGGGTGCTTTAGAGATAGGTGTTGTATTAGGGATCAAGTCAATGGAAAATTCGACCTCACGGTCTGGAGGAAGACCAGGTAGATCCTTTGGAAAAACATCAACAAATTCCCTCACTACAGTCAACTCCTCTAACCTCTGCTCTGGTTGTTCAGTACTCACCACACAAGCTAAATAACCATGACACCCTTTTCTCAACATTCGGTTAGCCTGAAGAAAAGAAATAAAACAAATAGAAGACCCTTTTGCATCTCCCTGAAAGAAAAACTCATGTTGCCCTGGCATAGCAAAAACTACCCTCTTTCTAAAACAATCAATAGAGGCATGATTCTTCGTCAACAAATCTATCTCCAAAATCACATCAAAATCCTTCATCTCTAAAAAAATCAAATCCACTGGAAAAATCCTACAATCCATCTTTATATCACAAGATCTACAAACATCTCCCAATACTACTGATTCTCGTAATGAAGTAGACAAGGTAATACATGCATCCTAAGGCACACAAGGAATAGACAATCCACGTAGAAATCTAGATGCTAACTCTTAACCTTCAAAATGAAATTAAGAAAAGCTCAACACAAGCTTAAACAAAACTAACTTAACCAAACACTACTAAGGACTAGAGGGACTCGGACCTCGTCTAAATGATGAAATGCAAGACATGTAACTCGATAAACTATAGCTCTGATACCACAATTGTCACACCCCAAACCTATTCGCTAACTTTGAAAATTACAAAACCCACTCCACACTATTCGAAAAATTCCAATAACCTCCAGATATGATCTAATATATCCTAAGTTTCAAACCCAATTGGTTTCACTTGATTTTCTTATCAAAATAATTATCTATAATTTATTATATCCAAACAGGTTGTTTTCTGCAGCACTTTAAAGAAATTGACGATTCTCTTAATATACACGAGCAATCAATGCAAGGCCAAAAAACTACGAAACTAGACTTGTAACCGGTTCTAATGACACTAATTTGATAATTTTTGGATTTATACCCAAAGAGAACAACACTCCCGAATTTACAATTTCGGTCTTGTTTCCTGGACAGATTTGAATACCTCAATTTATATGGATTTTGACTCCCAAAATTATGAAAAAATTCAGATATGCAATTCAATGTGTAATTGATCTACTGTAAAAATTTCAGATTAAAATTCATCCGTTTGATATGGTTTCTTGATTTTTAAAGTTTACGATTCTGTGCATACTTTTTGGACTAAAAATTACACCCAATCTTTACACATAAATTTAGCTCCTCAAGTTTCTTAATAGGATATCTATATACACAATACATAAACCTACAACCTCTCCATCAATGAACTAAATAATAATAGAGTAAGGATAAAGAACAAAAACAAAAGGAAGAAGAGAGATAAAGACCTACTACACACCCAAAAATTACTCCTTGTTTGCAATCCCCTTTTCTTTTCTTCTTCTTTTCTCTCAAACTCTCTCTCTCCCCGTGGCTACTGTGGCTGCTGTTATAGTGTTGATTATGAACCCTAGGGTTGTTATATATTGTATTAGGCAACCTAGGGTTACTTTATATATCTAAACAAAAAGGCTCTAAATTGTTATCTCTTTATATTATTTTATTTTCTAACCCATTAATTTAAATAAAATATAACTATTAATATAACAAAATATACTTACAAACTTACCCTCTATTTTTTTTTATAATAAATCTTGCCTCTAAATTAAATACTTTCACCATAAATTTATTTTAGGTTTTAAAAGACCTTCAAATATTTAATTTGCACTTTAGGTTTCACCACCAAAATATTTGATATTATAATATTATTATTATTTAATTATTTACGTAATTTTTATATTCAGGTTCTCACACATATAATCATTTCAAATCTGCCATTTTACGGATATTTTGTCCAAAGGAACCAACACCCATCTATATATGAAATTTCGGGTCTTTCACCCAGGACACTCTAGCCAATTTGCTTTAAATGGAGTCCATCCCCTTTCTTCTCCCAAACAAATATACATATGCAATGTATTTATAACATAGTCATATATGGAGTACATCTCATTTCTCCTCCCAATAAACATACATATACAATGTATTTATAAACATAGTCACATATGAAGTACATCCCCTTTCTCCTCCCAATAAACATACATATACAATGTATTTATAACATGGTCATATTCAAAGACACCAACAATGGATTAGCATTAAATCGCCAAATCCTCATGCAATTTCTACAACAATCATAGCTATCCTCCACCAATAACCCAATACAATTATTTCTAAAGAGATGTTCAATCTCAAAATAAATCTTTTATTCAAAACTTACATAGGTGAGATAATACATATCCAATATCACCATCTATACCCATAACCTTCCAATTTCACATTTTCAATACTAATCCCAATTATTTATACAAAATAATAATTAAATCAAAATTAGGACAAAATCTCCATCTTTCCAAATATCAACCCAAACACTAAAATCAACTATTTTGGCACAACATGATCTTATATTCAAGCCTCATACTCATTTACCTCTGAAATATCACTTTCACGATCTGATAAAGCGCGGTCTGCTTGAGCGGAGAGTTTGACGCTCGAGTGTCAGACACATAAATTTTACCCACTCGAGCGCGATAAAGGCCGCTCGAGCGCCAAGACACAACAGCAAGGCACTACCCGCTTGAGCACAATGAGACCTGCTTGAGCGTAGAATACACTTATCCAGTATTTTTGCAGACACAGTCCCCACTTGAGCGTAGATCAAAATTTCAGAAGTCCGCTCAAGCGGAATAGCCAAATTCTGGGCAACAAAAGCTTGGAAAAACAAGCAACCAACCTGTTCCAAACACACAACTACAACCCAATAACCAACATTAAGGGGAAGACAAGGGAAGCAAGACATGAACCACCATCCAAACCATACAAACCCGAGTCCGGAATACCACAAGAGACGGATCAAAACTAGGGTCGCTATATGATCGAATGAAAGATCTCTACGGTGAACTTAAGATTTGAACTTTAGATTTTTAGGAGATTAATAGTTTTTAGGGATGTGCTGAAGGGTGTGCATTTTAGTGGGTATAAAAATTTTAGAAGAATAATTTTAGTTTTTTTTTTTTTTTTTGGAGGGGGGGAGGGAGAGGATTTTTAAGGGTTTTAAAATTTTATAAGTGGGAATTCAAAAAAATGGGGAGTCAATAGTAATAAGTGGGTGCTAATAGCAACAATCAATTTAACAATTAAAATATTTTTTTCGTCAATTTTATTTAACAAAAATAGATGAATGGTTTAAATTGAAAATAAATAAAAAGGTTAGAGTTTAAATTGATAAAATTAAACATTTAGGTTTTATTTTTTTAGAGTGCTCAAACCCTGATTTTTTTTTTTAATTGTCGTTTTTTTTCTTCTTCTCACTTTCACTTTTTAAGTTTTCTCCAATTTTTTCTAAAAGTTAATTATGTCCAAAATTAAATAGAACATTACATATTGAGAGATACAGTATATAAAAATATTTTATTATATATAACTCACATTTTTTTACACAAACTCAAATTTCAATATAACAATATATCCACGCAATATATATATATATATATATTTATATCATGTACCAATTAACGTGATTTTTTTTGTTTAATTTTAGACAAAAATTAATTTTAAGAGTAATTTAAAAATAATTTAAAACATAAAAGGGCAAAAGTAATACGAAAAAAACCTTTACAAAGTGTTTAATTCATAGATTTAGGGAGGAATTTTTTAGAAAAAAAAGAAGAAGAAAAAAAAGTAAGTGAAATATAATCAGCTTGTTTGGTTTGGATTTTCAAGAATCACTTTTCAGAAAATTAAAATTTTTTATTTTCCTTTTTTTTTAATTTTTTTTTATTTTTACTAAATTTTGTTAATATTCTAAGCAATTTTTTTAATTTTTAGATACACCTAACATAAATACATTTAAAAAGTATATATTTGTGAAAAAATTCTTTAGAAAATTCACTAAATTTCAATAATACAAAAAAATATGAGAATTTGATACATTTTCGTATTCTTGTGTATTTATTAATTTTTTAAAATATTTTTGACAAGTATTTTACTTTTTAGATATATGTAAGTAAGATGTATTTTAAAAAAGTAAAAAAATTGCTTAAAATTTTAAAAATATTCACTAAAAATAAAAAAAACAAAAAACAAAATACAATTTTTAAAAAATTGAAACCAAATACACTCAATATTTTATTAACATTTCACCTAATTTTTTTTTCTTTCCAAATTCTTTCCAAAATTTATGAATCAAATACAACTTTAAAAAGTTAAAGTGAGAAAATAATCAAAAATAAATGGTCAAAATGTAATTTTAAAAAAAATCTAAATTATTTTGCAAACACCAAAAAATCTAAAATCTAAAAGATCAAACATCAATTATACATCCAAGGGTTAACGTTCCATCGCGCAGGACACCGAACGGTGCGATGCATACAATCAGTCGGTCCTCTTCCAGCATAAAAGAAGGTAAGTGAGCTGAAGGAGATCAGGAAGAGAAAGAAGAAATGGCGAGCAATCAGGGCCGTCTATTCTCATCACTAATCAAGCTATCTGCTCCCAAATTGGTTCTTCCCTACGCGAGATCTGAATCGGTAACTCTCTCCGGTTCGCACTCGGCGAGGCGACTCATCTGGTCTTCGACTCAGATTCAACAAGAAGATCAAGTTAACCCTAAAAAGCTTGAAGAACAGGAATCAGAAATCAAAGAGAAGATGCAAAACGAAAAGGACAACGACAACGAAGACGAAGATGAAGATGACGACTTTGATATGAACAAAGAGACCGGTGAGATTGGAGGACCTAGAGGTCCCGAGCCCACTCGTTACGGCGATTGGGAGCAAAACGGTCGGTGCTCTGATTTCTAAGTACTTTTTGATTGATTGATTGTTTGGTTGTTATTATTTATATTGAAATCTTGATGGATTTAGGAACTTGAAATGTGATGTTAGGTTTATATTTTGGTTGAGTGTAATGATCAAATTAATGAATAAAAATGATTGATTGAATCAATCAATTATATTCTTGTTACTTTTTTTGCGGTATTGATTGTTTATAGTTATTACTAGTAAAATTGTCCGAGTTGTTGATGATTCATGTTCTTAATTTTATATCACTATGTGGTGCCCCATCTTGATGTTAATTGTTGGATTTTAGAGAGAACTTGACGAGTGTCAAGTGATAATTTAAAGGATGTGGAGCATTGCTCCATCACAAGCAAATAACCTCTTCGGGGTGAGGGGAGGGGAAAATATTGAGGGTAACGGTGACATTATTTTACATGGTGTCATCGGTCAATAAAAAAGGCCGCAAATGAAGTTAGATGGACAAGTCTCGTCTTTCTTTAACTCAATAATATTGTGGTCTCTATCATAAAATAAAATTATTTATTGAATAGTGATACAATCACGTAATCTGTTATATCCAATATTTACTCGGGAGGGAGAGGGTGGCCTGGATGCCATGGCCTCCCTTGATTTTTGAAAATCCTATATATAGTATAGTGCAAAGGACCTACTCTCCTAGGTTATAACCAATGATATTTCTCCTTACCACCTTCATCTTGAAATATTTTTTCTTATATAATATAATGTGAAGACTTTACAACTCACTTGAGAACCTCCACAGCATTATAACCGTTAATCAATTAAATTTACAATTCATGTATTGCCCTATATAAATTTTAATGAAAGTTTTTTGTGTGTGTAGGCTGTGATATATAGAATTTGATATCTTTGTCTTTGTATTTTAAAAGGTAAAATTGTGTTGTTGTTTTACAAAACTTTTAAATCAATGCTCCATTTCTATAAATAGGACAAAAGGAGTGAGAACAATTCACAATGATTATAGCCCTAAAACTCACTTATGGTTTGTGTTTGGATATTTCATTAAATATATATTATTCTAGTGGAGATTTCTTCCTTTTTCTATTCGATACGATTATACATTTTATTTTCATATCACAATTTCTTCTGATAAAATTTTGAGTTTTTATTTTAAATATTTATTATGGCTTCGGGGATTGTTCACTCTTCACTTAAAAGGCATTTTTTTTTTGGATTGACACTGGGATGTCCGGATCAAAGCTCGACTAATTCCCAGGGATGTACAACCCTCAGCAAGGAGTTTCCCGCAAGTGTACCACGATTAATTCAAGGGTTTTCCTCCAGTCCGATGAACCTAAGGAATTGTTAGCACCTAAAAGGTTTCAATCTGTGAACCTTGGAGGGAGCACACCCCCAAGACCCAAGGTCTTGCCACTAGGCCAATCTCTTGAGGTTTCACTTAAAAGGCATTTTGCTATCAATGTACACTTAATTTGAGCCCATAAAATAAACTTTTCGACAATTTCTTTTCCTATTGTATTTATGAATGTTTGTTTTCATTTACAAATCATGTATTTTGTGTGAAACTTTTCTATTGAATTTTCATTGGCCCCCCTTCAGGATGAAATCTTGACTTCACCCTTGACAAGTAGGGTGTGGTTGTTAAGGGTAACCCTAACAACCACTACAAGAAAAGTGAGATTTAATGGCGTTTTTTAAATGCCGTCTTTTTTAATATTTAACGACGTCTGATAAACGTCACAATTTTTAAAAAATAAAATGGTACCGTAGAATGTCTTAACTCTCCCACGCTCTCTCTCTCTCATTTCAAATGTCTTATTTTGAGCCTGAGGACCCAAAACATTCCCTTACTCTCTCACTCACGCTCTGGGTCTCGCTCTCTTTCTCTCTCTCAACCCTCTCTAAGCCCTAATTTCTCTTAACCGATCGAATCAACCTTCTTCAGCCCTGTTTGATACAATCTCAGAGCGATTGGTGATTTTTCTCAGATCCAATCTCAGAGCGATTGGTGATTCATCTCAGATCCAATCTCAGAGCGATTGGCGATTTCGATTTCGAGATTTCGAAGCTCCACCACCTCCACTATCTGCACCGGCGAGGGGAGCGAGCACCATCGTCTACTAAGGGGAGCACCACTGTCTCTCTCTCAGTTTCATATTCTCTCTCTCTCTCTCTCAAGCTCTTCATTCCCGTCGAGTTTGGTCAGATAACGAAAGATCTCAACGTTTCGATTGAATGTGCAGAGAAGTTTCCCATGGTTACGAAAGATACGTATGTGTTTTCTTTCCTTTACTTTGATGGAAAATGGATCTAGAAAAAATCGGTGAGTTTCTTGCATTTCAAGTTGATGACGTTGAGAGTTTTAGCGCGCGCGCGCGAGAGAGAGAGAGAGAGAGAGAGAGAGAGAGAGATGACTCCTTCCTGATTCCCATTAGGGCTTTGGCGATGCATTGATTAAAGCCTCGATCATCATCGTTTTTACATTTATTGGTAATTATTCCCAGAATATTTAAAAATAATAATTTATTTTCTATATTTTTAGACTTGTGCTTGGGTTTACAATTAGTGTTTTAAAGGAGTTTTTAGAAAAGAAAGAAAGAAAAGAAAAAAAAAAAAAAAAAAAAAAAAAACAACCTGATAAATCTAGTTGTAGTGATAGACAAATTTTCTTCTAAAAAAATTATGGAAACCAGTTTGAGACTTGGAAATGGTTTCATCAAGAAATACTGTTACTACTACTAATAGTAGTCATATTGTTAATCTATTTCTTTGCCTTTTTCTTGCTGAAGTTGGCTTCTGTTTTTCTTCTAAGGTGTGTAATTGGGCTGTGTTGTGATGTTTCATGAGCTTGGTGGATACTCTGATGAAAATTTCAAGTTCTTTCCCTTATCTCTTTAAAATTATATGCAGGTGTATGTAGTCTATAGATGGTCATGACCGGGATGAAATTTTGTTGCAGAACCACCAAATGCTTACTACTATTCATAAAGGAAGGTCAGCCCAGTGCTCTTTTCTTCCCTTCTTGAATTGTAAATAAATGTTTTCACACTCAAATTTTGTTGCTCTTGCATTCTTCTTCTTTATCTTCAAATGGCTTTGTTGAATGCTAGATTTATTTATAAGATGATATCGAACAGTATTGGCTGATATACTCTTACCCCAACTTTAATATGCCCTTATCTGATCCACATCAAATTCTAGTCATTTTCAAGGTTGAAATACAAATTGGTGTTGGTAGGTAATATTGGTTGTGTTGATCGCATTGTGTTCTATTGATGACTATGTTGTGATACAATGTTGAACAAGCCAGAGCATCTCATATATACAGCTACAGACATGGTTTTAGAGGCTTTGCAGCCAAGATGACAGAGGACCAAGCTTCCCAACTAGCCGGTACATATTGATGAAACTAGTACTATAACAATTTCTCATCATTTGATTAATTCATATCCATGACTCTCAAATTGTTTTTGTATTGAAAAAATGGAAACAGAGATGCCGGGAGTGATGTCGGCAAGGTTTTAAAAAGCGGCCGCAACCGTTACGTAACGCCGTTACGTAACGGTTTTGGCGGTTACTGCCACCCGTTACGGCCGCTTTTGCAGTGTGATTGAGATTCACAGGTGTGTTGGCTGTAGCGGCTACTGTAGTAGTCGTAGCGGTGCCGTAACAGTCGTAACGGCCTGTTAAGCACCGTTACGTAACGGTTCCAAACTGTTTCTTTCGAAAAAATACAAAAAAAACTGAAAATAGGAGAAGAGGGATAGAGAGAAGAGGGAAGATAAAGAGAGAAAATGGAGGAGCAAGAGATAGAGAGAGAGAAGAGGGAAGATAAAGAGAGAAAATGGAAGAGCAAGAGATAGAGAGAGAGAAGAGGGAAGATGAAGAACATGTTATTGATTTGTGTGTGTCTATATATATATTGTTTGAAAATAATAATAATAATAATAATAAGTGTGGTTACTATCTATTTGGCTTTGTTAAAATATGTATATATATATATATATTTAGGCTCTTATTTATTCTCTTACTTTTGTCATTGTTTATCTTATATATAATAGTTAGTGATTGATTTTTTGTATAATATAAAATCATTAATTATTAAAATAAAATGTAAAAAACTCAGTTTATTGTGATTTAAAAATATGAAATATATTGGATCATACTTAAAAAATTACAAAAATTGATCAATATTTATTTTTAACCCAATAAATATGATCATGGAAAAAAAATATGCGTATCTATAAGTTTTTTTCAAATTGTGCAAAAAATAAAAAAATTCACGGTTCCGGTTACCGCAACAGCTACACTACGGCCTTTACACCCCGCAACCGCAACCGCGTCACCGCCACCGTTACGGCGACCGCAACCGCTTTTCAGAACTTTGGATGTCGGTGTTTAGGAATATCAGGTATCATGTTTTTACAATTACTGAGTACTTAAGGTTGGGTATCATGTTATGGTCATATGCACCGCCTCTTAATTTGATGAGATATCAATAGCATCCCGACATGCTGCCACTTCTTTTTTTCTTTTTTTTTGCAATGGATTTCTCTTTTACTGGTTTAAAGATAAAATATGAACATTTGATGGAATAACAACTAGGGTTGATAGGTTAAGCCACGAGACAAAAGTTCTATTGATTGTCAACTAGGAATAACAAGTATGGTCAGTAAAACCTTTTGAGACAAAAGTTCCATTGATGATTGTTGGTGGAAAGGTCATGCTATGATGTGATGACAGTTTTTTTCAGTTTTTGTTTTGCTTCTTTACTATTTATTTTTTTGTGGAATTTTTTCCCTTGCTTTTTTATTTGTAGGATTATGATTCCTCTTATATTGAATTGAGTTGGGTTGTCATGTGAATTTACTTGGATTTGTAGGATGGCAAGCTGGTGCAAGAAATGTGTATATTTAAAACCAAAATTGGAAAAATTGGCAGCAGATTACTGTCCGAGGTTAGATTGAATTTTTGTTTATAACCATCTGAGATCTAATTTTATTGTGCTGGTTATCAAAAGCTTCTGTGAGCTTTATGCAAGAAAGCGTGTTATTACTTGCCTTTTGACTCTTTTTATTTAAGTAGTTGTAATATATCAGTACTTTATCATTAGGGGTGATGAAAAGGTAGTTTTTCTGTAGAACTGCCACGTGCATTCTTTCTCTTGGCGTATTTAATTCGTCCATTAAGACTTTGATGTATAGCATTAAAATTTTTCAAATCTCACTTGGTGTGAATAATGTTCCACACAAATTTGTGGTTCGTGCAGGAGTCACTATAAGTCACTCAACTTTACAAATAATTTACATGCTATTGGTTTTTGTTTTGCCTCGTTATTTCATGCTATTACCTGTGCTCGTTTGTATTAGGGCTGTCTAAAATAATAAATTTGATGTGATTCTCTTGTTGCCTCCCAAATTAATAGATAATTTTGTAATATAATTTGATCTTCCTTATGTTTTTAATGCTTAATCTTGCATCTCCAAGAACACTCATACAAAGAATGTGAATGAGTCTACACTTCCAATCGAAGATAAGTATTTGATTGTCTTAAAGCATTAGTTTCTCAATCTTATTCTTCACTTCTTTCATGTTCAAATGTGAGAAAAAATATGATTATGGAAGTGTGAGATTATCAGAATTCAGCAACAAAACTGGGAATTGGAGAATTGAGGATGCAATGGATTGGCATGCTAAATTATATGCTCTTTGTAACATTTTAAGTCGTTGATGTTGTACATTGACATTTCATTGTTCTTATGTTTTGTCTTGCTTCTTTATATCTGACAGAGTGAATGTCACAGAGGGAGAAGAAAGAATTTTGATGACTAGATTGCACACTGTTGCTGACATTTTCTACGTTGGGTGTGGATCAATTTTGGGATGGAAATACGTAAGAGCATGAGGCAGAGTTCTTAAGATTATGGTTTGCACGTGTTTAGTTGACTTGACTGTGGTGTTTAATTACTTTACATTTTTATTTTCAGGAGACTGCCCATGAAAAGAGCCAAAAGTACAAGGAAGGAAAATCTGTCCTTGAGCAGTTAGTAGATAATTGTTTTGATGAGTCGAAGAAAGAGATATTTGCTATGAAACCAATCTTGGAATAAAAACATAAATAAAATAAAAAAGAAAAATAAGTTGAGGAAATTAGAAAAGCGTATTTTGACAACACAACTTCAAGTATGAAATAGTGTTTTCAAAATATAGTTTTGAAGAGTTTTACAACAAGTTAATTGAGTTTTACGATAAGTATTAAATTACACTTATGGTTTTATCATAGTTGTTAACTTCTATTGAGCTGTGAAATTACTTTCCAATTCCAATTCCAGTATGGTATTCTAGCAGCTTTAACTTCACATCTTAATATCGACGAATGGTCTCCAGCAAGAAAAGGTTAGTTCTATTCTTCACTTCACGGCTTTACTCGCTTGAAATCGATTGTTTTTGCGTCCTTGAAATGTCTCTTGCTCTTTGCACTTGTTTGTGGTTTGTTTACCGAAATTGAAACTGCGAATTTTTGTGTTTAGTTGTTAAAATTTCAGCTTAATTTGTTGGGATCTGGTATAGATAATATTGCCGTAGTCAAGATACTGTAATGGCAGCTCTGATAATTCTAGCTTGAAATTAGGATTTGAGTATGTAGAAAAACCGGTATGATGGAGTTGTGGAAATGGAAATTATAGATCAAATTGAGTGAGAACATTGGGCTTGGAAGTACCGGTAAAGCGATATTACATTGTTTACAACTCTTTTCAAAATTTTTATTTTTTGTTTGTTTGTTTGTTTTTGGAGCTCTATTTGTTTAACATTTACTATACAGTACTTCTGCTTTTAATATTTAATGACTCAATGCACTATTGATTGTGATACCAATATAGATTTCATATCAGATCCCTGTTCTGTATAAGATTGGAGAGAATTGAAGATATAATAGATTTTACGCAGGATATAATTGTTATTCTGGTCTCAGGCTCTTAAGGGCGAAAAGAGATAAATTAATATTAAGCGAAGTCTATAAATTGAATAGAATGTTTTGTGGGACGTAATAGGTACTAATATAAATTGCAGCATGAAAATAGAGAAAATAAAGTATGTTTAGAACCTATACGTAGCACATTTGTTATAATTTCTTCTAAAAAGCTCTTCCATGCCTTTGCTTTATGGAGAAATCTGCACAACTTTGATATTGTGCATTAGAGTAGATTTTTTTGTTATGCCATGTTTCATTTCAGCTTGGCTTGTGTTATTCTTTGCCTGACTAGAATTGAAGGCTTCTAGGTCATTCTACACCGACTAAATTCTTAGAAGAAGCTATTATTTATCCAGCTTAATAATATTAATAATTTCTTTAATTGAACTATTTATTCTAATAATATTAATAATTTCCATAACTTATATTAATGTGAACCCAGCTCAATATTCAACAAGAACCATATAGAATTAATTCCTACAGAAGAGAAGGGTACAATGAGACCGAGACAGTGCAACTTCTGAGCCGAACCCACATTCAATGTTCATTGAGACCCGGGCAATTCGTTAATGAGAGTGAAAACTCAATGCTTCATGTGGTTTCACCCTCATCAAACTATCAAGTCTGTATTGAAACCCATTTCATCAGTTGGGTATAACTGGGTTAATTAATTAGACTGGCTAATAAATTGTTTTAATCGTGTAGTTGTAGGTTCAGTATCCTAGCAGCAGCAGCAATGGAGGTCAGATTGGAGCCACCACCGGAGGCAATCACCTCTCCTTGTCAATGAGCAACAATCAGCAAAGGCCATTCATCAATCCTCCACAACTATTTGCAACTGCTGTAGCATCATCAGGATTCCCACAGCAGATAACAACCCGACCCAAAATTGGCTACACCAGAAAAATGGATTTTACTCTCTGATGAGACCCTCTTGACCCAACCTTTTGTTTTTTAAATCTTTATTTAACAAGGCCTTTGGAGTTTGTAAGAACTAGCCTATCACCCGTGCTATGCACAAGATAATTATTAATATTTATATTTGTTTTAAATTTTTTTAATATATAAATTATATTTTTTAAGATTTTTTATAAGAATAATTTAACAATCTTATCACTAATCATAGTGTATGTGAGAAGTTGAAAAGAGTACTGCAGTAACTATGCACGAGTTGTATCTATAATTATTTGTATGAGAGGATTTAAATGCTGATCAGGGAATTTTGACCAAATCAATACATGCAGGCATGTGAAAAGACATGTGGATTGAAAAAAATTAATAAATGCTGATCAGGGGATTTTGACCAAATTAATAAATGTTGAGGTTTTTTTTTTCTTTTAAATATAAAATTTAGAAAATTAAGATTGAGATATTGGAACTCCTACAAAACTTAAGGGTTAGAAATCCCACTTTTCTTAATATATATTAGCATATCACCCGTGCTATGCACGGGTTGTGTTTCACCACTTTGTCTTCTTATTTTTTTTTAAATGTTTTTTTTTCTTTTTTTATATTTTATTAAAATTTAATATTTTGATAATAATCATATGTGTTGGATTTTTTAAGGAATTCATAAGTGTTGGACTTTTCAAGGAAATTTTTTTTATGCTTGTTCTTAATGTATTAAAATGTTATTATGAGGGATAATAATCATATGTGTTGGATTTTTTAAGGAATTCATACATACTTCACAATTATTTCTATATATGTGAATTGTGATTTTTAAATATTTATTTTTTTTTAAATGTCTTCTTTTTTTTTTCTTTTCTATATTATATTAAAGTGTAATATTTTGATAATAATCATATGTGTTGGACTTTTCAAGAAATTTTTTTTATGATTGTTCTTAATGCATTAAATTATTATTATGAGGGATAATAATTATATGTGTTGGGACTTTTCAAAGAATTCATGTGTGTTGGACTTTTCAAGGAATTTTTTTTATGCTTGTTCTTAATGCATTAAAGTGTTATTATGAGGGTAAGGCTTGGAGGTTGGGAGAAGTTAATAAATGCTAAGGTTTTTTTATAAAAAAAAAATCAAAAAATCAGGAAATTTAGATTGAGATATTAGAGCTCCTACAAGGCTTGGAGGTTAAAAACTCCTTTTTGCTTAATATATAGTATAGATGTAAAGATTAATGCTTTGAGCTTAAATTTTTTCGTTTATGTGTTTCTAAAACCGTATATATCTATTATTATTTAGGCTGCCCTCTTATTTATTACTACATCAATAGGCCTTGTTCATGTTATATTAAAAAAAAAGGATATCATGGCGTTTTTGAAAACGCCACCTAAACTCTAATGCTAACGGTAAGTTTTTTAAAAAAGATGCGACGACGTTTTGAAAACGTCGCTAAAATCATAGTGATGTCATAGTATCATTTGTGGGATATTTGGCGGCGTTTTTAAAAACGACGCCTATAGTAATATGATGACGTTTTCCAAACGTCATGAAGCTATAGCGACGGCCGCATTGTCGACGTTTAGCATTAAACGTCACGAAAAGAATTAACGACGTTTTTAATACCTATAGCGGCATTTTTTAAACGCCGCTAAAAGTAGATTTTCCAGCAGTGAACTCCACCACAAGAACAATCCTTATTCTTCTTATTGTGGAGATATCCATAACATCACCTTTCCCTTTTGACTAAAATCTAACCCACACGACAACTGTGGAATTAAGTATTTGGAACTTGAGTGCCAGAACAATCAGACAGTACTATACTTGTTGTCTGGTAAATACTACGTGCAGGCTATCAACTACAGCAGCCACCATATCAGTCTGGTGGATGTGGGAATACAAAGGAATAATTGCTCCACCCTTCCTCTTCATTCTCTAACTCCTGACAACTTTACTAATACATTAGATTACAATATTAAGGATTCAATAGTAGTGTTTTTTATGTTAAAAAATAAATTAGTAGTGTTCTTGAGTTGTGGTTGCTGCTGATTTTGATCATTGTTACCATTACAACAACAATTTACACAAAAGAGGATAAGAACAAGAACGTGAGCATGAACAAGGAGAGGCATGTAACTAGCAAAGAACAACCTTTGATTTGTATTGGTTTGGCGACAAGAGTAGACCGGAGATAGTATAACAAATGTTGACCAGGCTTACAATACCGTTCCCACTTTGGCTCATAACAACTTTTAACATGTTCAATTTTTAATTTTAAATTTTTTTTAATATATTTTACGTTATGAACTCTGTGGTTATATTAGAACATCTCTAGCAAGGATAGTCAAAATAATTATTCAAAATTGCACTATACTATTTTAGCTAATCATTTTTTTAATATACAGTCCAACAAGGCTATCTACTTTAACTATCTTCTATTAAAATATTTTTATACTTTAACTACCTTCTTTCCCATATATATATATATATATAAACTAACTTCAGGTGTTAATTTAAGCCCATATGATGTTTGGAGTGAAAAAAATATGCTTAATCAGGTGAAAATACAGCACATATGATGTTTGGAGTGAAAAAAATATGCTTAATCAGGTGTTAATTTCAGCCCAAAATATCACCTAAACAGCCCATTATAATAGCAACTGAAGCAGTCTAGCCTAAAAGGGGGCCGGACGTCCAGGTGGACATCTGGCCAGACGACCGGCCAAGGTTTTTGGCCCAACTTTACCACCCAAAACAAAACTCAGGATGCAAAAACAAATAAAAAATTGAAGGCCCATGAACAGTACCTCGCTTGTCCTGGCAAGGTATTGTAGCTCACAACCATTTCAGCGATGCTTGAGCGAGTTTGCTGGAGCAGTCTTTCACCCTTCCACGCTCGCTTCTTTGGCTAAAAAGGGAGAATGCTTATACTGTTGGAGATGCTCTTATGAATGATGAGTTGTAAATGTTACGTTGTAATAAGAAATGTTACAACATTAATTTTGTTAGGTTTTATTCTTGGCAATCCCGTTTGACAAAACTTCTTTCAGTTGTATTTGTTTGTGCACTTTTATTTCAGTGAGGCTATGAGTTTTTAGATGCGAATCCAACTCGAATTGTGCCTTTCAGAGAAGCTTATGATGCTAATGCTTTCAAGATTGCCACTTCGCTGATTATGACGTGGATTGAGCTGCCCGGTCAGCTCACGGGAGTCCAGGGGGCAGCGCCCCCGAAGAAAAATGCAAAAATGCATTCCAAGTTGCTTGTCCGCTCGAGCGGAGAATCTCTGGTTCCAGCAGTTTTGGTCGCCTGTAAAAGTACTGAGCCGTGTGATTTCGCGCTCGAGCGGGTTCTCTAGCGCTCGAGTGGACCTCTGTTTTGTCACACGCATATTTTGCTGAAGCCGCTCGAGCGGGCTGTTGGGCGCTCGAGCGGTGATCGCGAACACAGTTTCTTGGATTTCTATAAGGCATTGGTTTTCTTCCAAAACTAGGATTACTTTGGTTTTCTATAAGTAGATGGTTTTCTCCCAATACTTGAACAAGTCCTCCAGATCTTCTTTTTGGATTCTTAGGTTTATATCTGGGGATATTTTGCTAGTTTTCTTTGATGTTTTGATTGAGTATTCAACTCATGGTTGAAGAAGCATACATCAAAGGTTTGTTTGTTGATTCTACACTAAAGAGAGTGTTGTTCTTCGGTGGATTCTGAAGAATTCGAGCCTGAAACTTTGGTGGATTCCGGAGTGGCTCATCGTCAAGATAATTCCGAGGTGAAGACGGGGTTGGAAGAGACACATAGAGGTTGGTTCAATTCGGGCGTGGATTCGCTAGGTAATTGAGAGTATACCTGTGTAATTTCTTTATATCTTCTTTGTAGATTGTTTTGTAGCTGTTGCCCGTGGTTTTTTTTATCACAATTGGAGGTGTTCAATTGTGATTTTTTCACGTAAAATCGTTGTGTCGATTTGTCTTGATTGTTCAATTGAGATTGTTATATACTGTTTAAAATTGATACATAATCACAAATCAACATCTAGGGAATTTCTAGATTTTTCAATTGGTATTACAGCGGGTTGCTCGTTTGTTTTTTAAAACTTTTGAGTCAGATCTTGTTTGATTTGTGATAATGGATTCAATTCGTGAGGGAAACTCTATGGTTCGACCACCCCTACTTGACGGATCTAATTATTCTTTTTGGAAAGCTCGGATGAGATCGTTTTTAAAATTTATTGATGAAAGAGTTTGGCAATCTGTCATGTATGGATGGACTGAACCAACAATTACCGTCGATGGAGTAACTTTTCCCAAACCAATTGAAAAGTGAGACACAATTGATTACCAAAATAGTAGTTGGAATAGTAAAGCTATCAATTCTCTCTTTTGCGCTGTCACACCTGAAGAGTTTAGTCGTATTTGTAATTGTGAAGTCACAAAAGAGGCTTGGGATATCTTAAAAACTATTCATGAGGGCACTCCTTCGGTGAAATGCTCAAAACTTCAAAGGCTCACATCTAGTTTCGAAAACCTTTCAATGAAAGATAGTGAGACCTTTGATGAATTTTATACGAAGTTGAGTGACATTGTTAATTCCAGCTTCAATTTAGGTGAAAAAATACCAGAATCCAAAGTTGTGGAAAAATTTTTGAGATCCTTGCCCGATCGGTTCCAACCAAAAGTTACAGCTATTGAGGAGGCTCAAGATGTTGACAACCTCAAGCTGGATCAGTTGGTTGGAAATCTCCAAACTTATGAGGCACATAGGAATTTCAAAAAGAAACAAAAAGATATTGCTTTTAGTAGTGCTCATAAAGTTGGAGAGGATTCTGATGAGGACTATGAGATAGATTCCAAGATTACGGCTGCTTTTGTTAAACAATTTAAAAAAAAATTTTTGAAAAAGAATCCTAATCTTTTGGAATCTACTCATTCTCATAAATCTAAAGGCAAAGATAAATTCAAAATTAATTCTATAGCCAAGAAGGAGAAAGGAAAGATACAAGGGAACTCTGAAAGACTCCAATGCTATGAATGCCAAGGATTTGGCCATTTTGCTCAAGATTGCCCTACTCGTTTGAGGAAGAAGAAAGCCCTCGCTTTCCTTGCTTTCATGGCGGCTTCTGAAACTG